GTTTTCTGCAAGCGGGTTTTTTTTTTGCAAGTGATATGCTGCAGTATAAAGCTAGGGTGGGGAATGATGTTGAATCCCAATTCCCATCTGTCTTAGCCAGCACTGCCAGTGGCAAGGGAATGGCAGAAGTGTATTCTGGGAGCTGTAGTCCCCAAAATAATTTATTTTGTCTCTGACAGACTCATAAGAACACACATTCTCTACATCTTGTGCTGTTTTCGGCAGATTTGAACTGTCTTTCAAAAGGTATAACATTGGCTTCCACTTGGCCAACTCCCACCCTTCTTCCTCATTTTTCTCTTATATTTACACCTTGTCTCTTGTTGCCAATACATCCCCAAAGTCTTGTTTATCTGAGCTCTCTTTCTCGTCCCTGCCATGAGGGAACTTGCCTGTTTGAAAGCTGGAAGACTGATGGGTGTGCTTTTGCTTCTTTCATTACTCTTTGGGTCTTTTTGTTTTGACAGACAAGGCACTAGGGCATACACCCCTCCCCCCACCTAAGATCTATGCACCCCGGAAACCAAATCCTAAATCATTGGTGAGCATATGCTTGTAAGACCTGTGTAACCCACCAGCAGCACTAGCTACCAGTATCCCCAGTATCTCTCTCCTTGCTTGTTATCACGGCTCCCACAGACTCACCTTATTCGTTTCTTCTGCTTATGCATAGGACATGGCAGAAAATCAAGGAACTCTTGGACTTGTTGAGAGAACGCATCACATGCGGAGGCATTCCCCCTCCCCTCTTATGAACTAGATACACTCACTTTATCTCTTTTAGAAGAGGAGCTGGTTTAGCAGCTGTGCAGAATATAGCTTACGCTTCCCGAGTTCTAGTTGGTAGGGTTGGCAACAGCTCCAAAGAGGACCTTTGGCGCTCCATGGTTTGGCCAACAACTCCTTATCCACCTTCATGAGTGCTAATGGATTGTGAGAGTTACTGTCTAAAATATCTATGAAAGGCAAAGGTATGCCATCACAGGGAAACAACCTTACACAGACATAGCCAGTCTTTTGAACTACAATTTATCATCCCTGCTCTCCTCAAAGTAATGGGTTTGTTGTCCACAATGAGCCCCCACGGATTTCCAGCCCCAGCAGCTTCTCTTCTACCCTTTTTCAGGCCGTAACAAGAACAAGGCAATCATCATTAATGTGTAGTTCCAGAACACACATACTATGCATTTCTTTGCCTCAATTTCCTCTTAATTGCTGTGGCTTTGGTCCCTGCTTGAGTTTTGAAGTACTGTGGCATCATTAATAGGCAGCCCAGCGGGGACATTCCGCCCGTCTTCTTTCAGTGTTTAGAAATGGCAAAGGGCGGGACTAAAAAGTAATCTAGTTATCTAGCACCACCTAGTGAGAGAAAGGTGAATCACAGGAATTTTCCTTCAAGTTCCTGCCCTAGCCTAGTGTATGATGGCTTAGGGTGGACAAAGGTAAAACGCAATACCCTGTACAGTCCCTGAGCTTTTAATAGTTGTGGATGGGGAGTTTCAGGTGTTACGATTTGTCATTGAGGGAATATAGAGGAAATACTCTCTTCAACTATTAAAGGCACCACAGTCCCACCTGTTTTTGCATGACAATCTGCACTGTGAAATTTGGTGCGATCCAGCCAGTGCTTAAAAGGCCCTTACCTTCAGTACAGTCTATTTTAACTCTTGGTACCTTTCCGGGAAGGGCAGAGCAAAGAGCTATTTTGTGTGTCAATGAATCATTGCCAAAAGGTTGCATGGCCAAGCCCTGTACCAGAAGGATACAGACCAGCTCTTAAGGGGTAGATGATTTTATGTAGAAACACAGGCGGATGAGGTCTTTTTTACCCCATGCCAAACAGTGCTATCAGGGAACCATACATCATAACTATATGCCAGTGTGTGGACAGGCTCTAAGTCTTCACCAATGGCAAATGCTAGTCTTGTGCTTGTTGCTATGTTCTTATGATAAGAGACACTACATTCGGTCTATTTCCCTTTCCACTTTGGCTTGTAAATCTCATATTGCCATTTGCCTTGGTTTCTACCCTTTTGCCCCATCTTTCTTCTGACTGAATTTTGCCTTTATTCCTTCTCCGTTAAAGAGCCAAGGGGCTGGTTTTGATGACTTCAGAAGTATTGTATGCGTATTGGGCTGTGACTCTCTCTCATGACTCATTTGCATGCAACAGTTCTTTCACTTGTTACACTTCACTTATTGTGGGCGATGTAGGCTATCTCCAAAGCAGAATCATTTTGACTAGGATGATTTCATTAAAATGCAAATTTAATTGTGCTGCACACAGAGAAACACCACTGAGATTAGCCAAGAACCAATTAATTGTCTGATGCTGCAGCGGTTTTGTTGTTAAATTTTTACTTCAGAAACCTCACTCTGTGTGTAAAAGATATATTTGACTCTGAAACTTCTGTCACACAGCCCCTTGACTGGTGCTATTTATAGGCATGCCTGTTCTAAAAGCATCACACCAGGGCTGCAGTTAATGAGGACCACTGTAGTTTCATGATCCTGCTTCAAAGATTGTCTCTCATTTACTCATATTTTTAGATTTTTTTTTAAAAAAAGCTTTCTGTAGATCTTCAGGCTCTTAGCATTGAAGAACAAGGCTTTCAAACCTTCCTTTCAGGCCTCTAGCCCCCATTATTTGCATGGCTCCTCTTCTTTAATGAACCAGATTTGAACCCAAGCTTGGGCCTTCTGTGTGTCAGCCCAAACTATTTGATAATTAAACAACAGGAATGTTACTTGAAATAAGGAGTTAAGGCTTAATAATGGTCCTGTTTTGTCACAGTAAAAAGTGGCAGTGACAGATGACAAATATTATGACGGTGAGGTGGAGATGTTGGATTTCTGTACATGCTGGGTGTTGGCTGGCCTGTGGTAGTGCTCAGGAAAGTCAGTTTTTGGACTGACAGGAAAAAACTGTTTGACAAGTGGCATAGAGATTACCTGGTGGTGATGAACATTTCCTCATTGGAGATTTCTTAAACAGAGACTGGATGGTCGAGGTGTTTTAACTGTCCCATTTTGACAGTGGTTGGATTTCAAAGAACCTTGGGGGCTCTTTCCAGCTCTACAGCTACAGGATTGCAAACTCCAGAATCCCAATGCCTGAGATATTCTAGGAGCTGTAGTCTATAAAAGTGGCCAAAGGCTGGATAGCTCAGTGAGGTATCTGGCTGAAGAACCAGAGTCTGAGAGTTCAATTCCCCACTATGCCTCCAGAGAAAAGAGCCAGCCTGAGTGGCTTTCAACAAGCTGCACAGTCCCAGGGACCCCCCCCCCCAGAAAACGGGAATGGGAAACCACTTCTGTGTATTCTGTACCTAGAAAACCCTGGAAAGGGTCACCATAAGCCAGAATTGACTTGACAGCACACAATTGTTATTATTAAGACTTCCAACAGAATGCCACTCTTCTTGCCATTGTGGATTACATGGCCTTTTGACCACACACAATACCTTGAAAAAAGTGCTTAACAAAAAATATGTGTATGTATTTGAACAATCCCCAGAAACACATTTTAGTCAAAGGAGAAGTAAATAAAAATACAAATATGAGTAAAAAGGCTTGAAAAGAACATGCGTCTTTGGGGAGAAATGCCCAAAAATTAAACATTGGTTTCTGTGAGGAGGGGAGAATGCCTTACAACAGGATATAGAACTTGGACAGGTTAACAAAATTTGGTGTCACACCCTCAGAAATGCAATGAAAAGGTGACTCACAAATTTTAACATCCTTACAAAGGAACCTAAGTCCTATATTCCACAAGAATTACTTATATAGGAGGGGGTGGTTCAGGAGCTAAGGAAGAAACACACCTGACAGCTTCCTCTAGGAATGGATCGTTTGCTATCATACATGGCAAAAGACCAACGACATTATAGAGGACTGGCAGGAGGCCAGGCCAGAGCCATACGCATATCATATTGGATAAAGGACCTTTAATGGTTGAATAAATTCTGCATGGCACACTAGCAGTTAAAAGTATCTGGTGAGGCCTCATTGGGGATGATAGATGTAGTTCTTTAACTTCAATGGGCCTCATTTCGCATGCAAGATTGCAGCTGATGATCAGCGGTGTTCAGTTTTACCCATTTCGCTTCCTCCCTTAGTTCAGAGATGGGGAATCTTTAGCCTTCCAGATCTTTTGGACTACAAATCTCACAACCCCTTAACGCTGTCCAGTCCTCCTAAGGCTGATGAGAATTAAAAGCAAGGTGTGAGGCTTTTCCTTACTGACTGGCTGTCTGAGAGGGGTTGTTGCGCTCTGTTGCAAATAGGATTGTTGTACTCTGTTGCTTTTAAATGTGTTTTTACTATTGATTTTATTGACCATTTTCAATACAGTACTTTTAAAATATTTGCATACTCAATGTTTTTAGCTTTTAAATATTGTCTTTTAATTGTTGTAAGCCCCCTTGGGGTCCTTTAAGAAGAATGGTGGGGTAAAAATCTTTTAATGAATAAATAAAAATTAAGGGGTACCCAACCCTTCTCAGTCCTAAGGTGCCTTGCCAGAGGCAAGGGAATCCAAAATCTTTTAATGAATGAATAAAAATTAAGGGGTACCCAACCCTTCTCAGTCCTAATTAACCCACTGAGTTGTTCTTCCCTATTCTTCTGATATAAATTCAAGTCATAATATTTAGCAGGAATAATTAATATGCCCTGCTACCAGCTGTTAATACATGATCATCCTTAAATCACTTGTTAGACTTGTTAGCCAATGTTTGCTAATTAATTCTTCCATTGCTGCCCTTCCGAGTCTCAGTCTTCTTCTGATTTCTCGGCTGCAATCTCCATTTGGACTGATGGTTGAATCAAGGTACAGTACACAAAAATCTGGTAACCATTTCCATGTATGGATATCGATGTTCCACTCGGGAGGGTTTCACCATAGATAGAGCAAGGGAGTTGACGGACGGCGCCTTAGAAACTACGTTTCGGAAGTTGCAGCCAGGCGCCCCTCTCTTCCGTTTTCCTTACTCTATGGGGGCAGGAAGTCGCTTCTCCTTTTGCGACAAGAGCCGTACGTGAGGTCGTAGTTCCTCGAAGTTTTCGCGACGGAGTGCCTTTCTTTCCATGTGTTTCAAATCCCTTTTCGGGTAAGCGTAATCTAAACAGACTCAGCGGCAAGGTTGCAGCTGACCGACTGATTTCTGTGTAAGGCTTTCGTTGATGCCGGTCCCCTTCTTCAGACTCCCGGCTGAACAGTATCGGGGGAAGCCTAGAAAACTCTCCAGGTTTCGAGAACATGTGACAAAATGTTAAAGAGAGGAGGAGAGAAGGAAGGAAGGGAAAGAATTGGGTTGCTGGGTAGGTGGAAGGGATTAGCGGCTGGTATTTCAGCCATGGGGTGCCTACAGTGGTTACTGCAGGGCGTTTCTGTGTGCTGTTGGACTGCAAATCCCATCATCCCCCCACCCTTGATCCTGTTGACTGAGACGGATGAGAACTGATGTCCAGGAGCAATTGGAAGGTGGTGGAAGTCCGTTGCAGTCCAGCAACCCCGCGCCCTTTTCTTCATTAGCGACTTAAAATAGGAAGTGGGATGTACAGTATCTGCAGGCGGTGTTATCATAACACTTGTGAATAGTTATCATGGCGACCTTTGCTCGGTGCGTTTCATTGAGCGACCAAAGCCCGAGACTGGCAAATCAAGGCAGAAAGGGATGGCAGGAATTGAGCTTGTGGGAGAAGAGGTGGGGTGTGTGAGAGAAGCAAGCATGAGGGTAGGCTGTGGACTGGATGCCACCAAGGGATGGCCTTGTCTAGTCATATTTCAGATTCCTATTGCTTGTCACATCATTGGTACAAGTAGGCCACCTGCAGCTGTGGAATAAGGTTCAGTGTGAATATCAAGTAATATTGGTTGTAGTAACACATTAGAGAAGTTGGTGTGCAAGCAACGAAAGTTTGGGGTTTTATTAGAAGCATTTGCTTCCCTTTTAGATTTCCTGAATCTTCTTTTTAACAATTTGTCTTTTGTATTGCAGGAAGAAAATAGCCTTCCAACCGTGCTCGCCTTCCATGCATCTCATGTTAGTAGTTAAAAAACCGAGTGGATGTCTAGCAAAGGTATAGAGCAGCATCAGCTGACACCCCCACATGGAGATTTTGTCATGGATGATCAAGAGGGAGGAGAGGGAACTGTGGCAGAGAAGAAGGACGGGGAAGATGCGGTGCATTTGGGTCACAATGTCACCGAAAAGGCTGGGTCGGAGACCAAGGAAGTAGAAAGTGATGCTCAGCTGGATCTACCCCATGAAACTGGCAGCAAAAAGGTTGTTCCTGGCATTATTTACCTTGGTCACATCCCACCCCGCTTCCGGCCCCGGCATGTTCGTAACCTGCTGAGTGTCTATGGTGAAGTGGGACGTATTTTCCTGCAGCCTGAAGGTGAGCCTGTTTGGGCATGTATGCTTGGATGTGTAAGAGGGTGAGAGGGAAGCTGTGTTGCATGAATTAGGTAGGGCTAGGAAAATTGTTGCCAGAGTTAAAAAACTTTAAAGCAAAATACACTGGTGCCTCATGTTGCATGAATTAGGTAGGGCTAGGAAAACTGTTGCCAGAGTTAAAAAATTTAAAGCAAAATACACTGGTGCCTCGACTTACAACCGTCCCAACTTAAGACCATTTCGAGTTACGACCAACTCCGGTTGCAAAATTTTGCTTCTACTTGTGATCGGAGCTTTGAGGTACAACCAGCAAAATTTTGCTTCTACTTGTGATCAGAGATTCGAGGTACAACCAGAAAAAAGACAGGGAAATCAAATTGCTAACCCTTGATGGTGAAAAGGCTGCTTCTTTGTAGCTCTTTCACCTCAGTGGTTAGAGCAGTGGTGTCGAACTGTGGCCCTCCAGATGTTCTTGGCCTTCAACTCCCAGAAATCCTGGCCAGCAGAGGTGGTGGTGAAGGCTTCTGGGAGTTGAAGTCCAAGAACATCTGGAGCGCCACAGTTTGACACCACTGGGTTAGAGTGTGTGTGTTTGGAGGAGGCTTCAAACTGCCTAGGCTGCTTTCTGCTTTTTAAAAACTGGCTGTTCTGGGTGGGTTTTGTGATTATGATGATGATTAAAAAACACCAGACATAGTCGAAATTAGAAAAACATTGGCTGGTACAGTGGTGCCTCGCTTGACAATAATCCTTTCCATCCTAGGCTGCTTTCTGCTTTTTAAAAACTGGCTGTTCTGGGTGGGTTTTGTGATTATGATGATGATTAAAAAACACCAGACATAGTCGAAATTAGAAAAACATTGACTGGTACAGTGGTGCCCCGCTTGACGATAATCCTTTCCAGCAAAATTGCTGTAGAACAAAATCATTGTCAAGCGAAAGTAAAATGCCCATTGAAATGCATTGAAAACCCCTCAATGCGTTCCAATGGGCGAAATACCTCATCATAAAGCGAAGATCCTCCATAGGGTGGCCATTTTCCGGTGCCTGTAAAGTGAGGAAACACATCGGGAGCCATTTTGAAACAGCGGGTGGTCATTTTGAAACCCAACGATCAGCTGTTTTGATCGTCATAAAGTGAAAAATCGGTTCCAGAAGCAGGGAACCGATCATCGTCAAGCGGATTTTCCCCATCTAAACACTGTTTTGCAATCGCAAAATACTCATCGTGAAACAATTTCGTCGTCTACCATGGTAAGCATCTATTGGGGCATCACTGCATTATGCAACAGATACAGGTTTAACCAAAAACCTAAGTATCTGTTAAATATCGACACAGTATGTATGCTGTTCCTAATATTGCTGTTTTTTGTAGGTGTGATTGTGTGATTTCTGAGATTGTATGGGGTTGGGCTGGGTGCTGGGGCTATGTTTCTATGCTGTGATGGGTCTTGCAGGGTTTTGTTTTGTTTTTTCCCCATTTCCAATGGGTCTTGCAGTAGTTGTTTGCTTTATGGTGATTTTTTTTTTTTGCATTTCCAATGGGTCTTGCAGGGTTTTTTGTTTTGTTTTTTTCCCCATTTTCAATGGGTCTTGCCGCGGTTGTTTGCTTTGTGGTGATTTTATTTTATTTTATTTTTTGCATTTCCAATATGTCTTGCATGGTTTGTTTGCTTTTTGTTTTTGTTTTCCTTTGGCCAGAACGGATTGATTGCGTTTCCAATGGGTCTTGCAGGGTTTGTTTGTTTTTCTCTTAATTTGTTTGTTTTTCTCTTCGGCCAGAACGGATTAATCATGTTTCTGATGGGTCTTGCATTGGTGGGTTTTTTGGTGATTTTTTTTCTTCGGCCGGAATGGATTAATTGCATTTCAGTGCATTTCTATGGGAAATGGTGCTTCGACTTATGACCATTTTGAGTTACAACCCATCTTCCGGAATGGATTAAGTTCATAAGTCAAGGCACCACTGTAGTGAGTTGGGTACAGTCTCTTTTGAACTGTCACGTGTAAAGGGAGCTGGATGAAAGCTAGGGTGAGTTAGATGAAGAATGACCTCAGGGCCTTGCTTAGTGCATGATGTTGCAACTGAATTATGGTACAGTTTATTGGGCAAGATCCCAATGGGTGTCAGTTTTTGTGGTGGAGGTGGATAATGTTATCAGCTTCTGCTGATGAAATTTAATTTTCAATTAATTAAAAGCTTCCTGTCTCTACCCTTCCTTTTTAGATTCCAAGGGTCCATTTTGCCCTGTGGAAGCATTTGGGAGGCTTGGGATTTTTTTTGGGGGGGGGCCTTAATTATAAAATATAACTGCTGGGTCACTTCTGGTGGTCATGATTTGATTGGTGGCAGTCTGGCAGTGATTTTTGGCTATTAACTTCCGCCCCCCCATCCTGAGGTTTCCAAATGCTTCCTGAGAGCCCTTAGAACTTAAAAAGGGGAAAGGAAGCTTTTAAATAATTCAAATTAAGTTTAATATCATTTAATGTTTTTCCCTTTTAAAAATATTTATATTTAATGTACATGGAAACAATAATAACAACAAAATAATAGTACAGATCTTTTACTAGAAATGCATAACCTGATATAGTTCCTTCACACCACTGTAATTATATCCGATTAAAATTTTGCCGCAGATGGAAATGTTTTTTAAATAATTGACAAACCTCTTTTCCATACAGAAGAATAGCCAAGTTCCAGTGTGACATCAGTGACCTAAGGGATAGGTATTGGTCTGAGCTGATATTTGAAACCTAGTTCTGAACAGCGTATGATCCATTTCACTTTTTGTGTCCCTCAGAACGATATATACGAAAGAAAAAGAAGAAGGCTGGAAGTAATGCCAAAAACTTCACTGAAGGCTGGGTTGAATTCCGGGATAAGCGTGTAGCAAAGTTGGTTGCTACCAGTTTGCACAACACACCCATGGGTGTGCGCAGGAAAAGCAAATTCCACTATGATCTCTGGAATATGAAGGTAAAGTGTATGTTTTGTAAGCTGTTCCAGTAAATAAGGATGTTCCAATTTTTATGTTATCCACTGTGTATATACAGTGGTGCCGTGCTTGACGGTGGTAATCTGTTCCAGGAAAATCGTTGTTAAGCGAAATCGTTGTCAAGTGAAAAAAAAAACCCATTGGAATGCATTGAAAATCGGTTAATGCATTCCAGTGGGGAAATACCTCATTGTCCAGCAAAGATCGGCCATAGAGAACCGCCAATCAGCTGTTTAAAATCACTATATTCCAAAGCAGGGGTCCGTAAAGCAGCCATTTTGCAAAGGGAGAGAAGTCATTTTGCAAAGGGAAGCCATTTTGCGGAACTGGAAAAATCATCGTTTAGCGAACAAATGGTTCGCGAAGCAGGTTCCTAATCAACGTAATGCGAAAAAAACCCATTGGAACCATCGTTTTGCAATTGCAGTAGTGATCGCAAAAAACTCATTGTCAGGCGATTTCATTGTCTACCGGGGTCGTAGTCAAGCGGGGCACTACTGTAATTGCTCTTGTATCTTAAACCCCAAATTCACCTTCTGGCTCATGGAAAAAATAGAGAGTTAAGGTTGTATCTGGGCCTCTGAAGATACCAAATATTCTCTCACTCTGGTTAGGCGAGTTCTGATTTAGTTCTGTATGTCTCTGGGACATATTTACATATACCGTATGGTAGACTTGTGAAATGAGGAAGGAGTCGTCAATGATTTGTAAAGAGATTGTGGAAGTTATGGGTATTGATGTACAAATGTCTCCAGTGATAGCTTTGTTGAATATGGTTAATACTAATCAGCTAAAAGGGGAAGAAAGGGAATTATTATTATAGTAACTGTGCCAAGGTTGGTATTTGCAAAGAATTTGAAGAAGAATAACAACATGGAGGAATGATATAAAGAAATATGGAATATGGCCATTAATTGGCAAACTTATCTATGAAATCAAGTTTAGAAAATTAATATTGAATATAAATAATTTTAAAGAAATACAAAATTTATTCTTAGTACATATTTATTTATTTATTTCATTTTTTATACCAGCCATCTGGCTGAAGGTACATGTGTTTGAGAAAGGGAAAGATTATACCCCTGGATATGAATTGCTATATTTCTGGAGAAACATAAAGTAAAATAAATACATAAATTAGTCAGGAGGGCAGTGGGGAGCAGAGAGTTGAAAATGTGTGTTATATTTGTGTTTCTTTTTATGTTGATATGTTAGTGGTGTTTTGTTTATTGTTACCTTATTAAAATTAATATTTTTTAAAGCTCTGCAGGTCTCTGCCACCCTTTTACTTCCATTTTGTGTTCATAAAATGTGAGATCAACTGATTTAGTAAACCATATGGGTTTGCTCAGCCCCTTGATACTGTGTACATGTGTATATGTCTATGGTGGTGCAGATGTGAGTCAGTTGAGGCTATTCCCTCAAAGAACAGTGGGATGGTCAAATGGCAGCCCCTTGGTCAGGAACAGCTCTTAAAATTACCTCTGGCTGTAATTCTGTTGGACACTTCCGTGTGCACAACAGTGATGACATCAGCATCAGTGGCAAGTCACCACTGATTAAAGGCTTCCTTTGGTGATTTCAAGATGCATGCCACTTTGCTGCTTTGTGTGCAAGTTGCATGCACTCTGAATCACCTTTAGTTAGCAGAATTTTGTTTTTAATTAGTGGTGATTTGCCGCTACTGATGACATCGTTGTTGTACACATGGAGCTCTGCAACAGGATTTCAGCCACTACTTGGCCTGTGGTCGTTCTGATAAGCAAATCAAGCTGTTTAGATTTACCTAGATTTCCAATGTTTCACTTCCAAGTAAAATAAATAATCTCTTTTAAATTGCAGTATTACTAAATATAATACATATTAAGCTGTGTACATTTTGGAAGAGTAATAGATTGATGCCAAATTGATGCCTTGAGCTTATTTTTGAGAAAGCCTGTAAATTTCTCAGTCTTTCCCCACATGTTTCGATGACTTCATTTTGGCAAACTGTGTATGCTTCATCTCTGTGGAGCAAAAGCTGAGGAATCTCAATTTTGTCAAGAACTTCATTCCATTAGGGCAAGTGTGTGGAACTATGACTCTGTACAATCTTCTTTTAGATTTAGTGCTAGCCAATGATGATGGATTATGGATGCTGTAGTCCCAATTTTGTCAAGAACTTCATTCCATTAGGACAAGTGTATGGAACTATGACCCTGTACAATCTTCTTTTAGATTTACTGTAGTGTTAGCCAATGGTGATGGATTATGGATGCTGTAGTCTAAAACATCTGGACAATCCAAGCTGATAACCCCACTTTACGGACATTGTAATCTGGACAATCCAAGCTGATAACCCCACTTTATGGACATTGTATTAAACCAATGTTTCCCAACCTTGGGTCCCGAGATGTTCTTGGACTACAACTTCCAGAAATCCTTGCCAGCGCAACTAGTCGTGAAGACGGCTGGGTCTGGTCCATGGGGTCACGAAGAGTCGGACACGACTAAACGAACGAACGAACCCCAATCTTGGGAAACCCAGGTGATCTTGGACTGCAACTCCCAGAAACCCTGGCTAGCACAGCTAGTGGTGACAGCTTCTGGGAGTTGCAGTCCAGGAACATCTGGGTTACCCCAGGTTGGGAACCACTGTATTAGAGGCCAGTGGTGGTGTCGAGGTTTTCATTCAACAGTGGCTTAAGCCTCCCTGTTCTTCCTTCCTGTTTCTTATCCAAAAGGTTGCTGAGAGAGGAGAAGATTGCTTTTCCTAGAGGTATACGTTGTTTCCTCATAGCAGGCGTTTGAAATTAAGTTGCAAGGAGTGGAGAGTAGTTCTGCACCCGGCAGCCATTTTGGAACAGCCGATCAGCTGTTCCCAAAATGGCCACCGGGTGCAGAAATGATCGCAATGCGATGTTTAGCCTATCTAAACATCGCAATGCGATCGCATTAGCGACCGCAAAAAACGGGTCGCTATGCGGATTCTTCGTTAAACGGTGCGCTCGTTAACCGAGGCACCACTGTAAGTTGCAAGGAGTGGAGAGTTCACTTCTTCGTACTGCAAAATTTATTGTAGTCTGACCAGCTGTGAGAATGTCAGACCCATGGGTGAATGGGTGGAAAGCACAGTGGCCTTTGAAAATTCATAAATTGGCTACCCCTGATTTCATATCTTTTAGGAGCTGGCAACTTGTGAACCTGCAGTTGTTCCCCATCAGTCACCCCAAATGGTGAGAAATGTTGGGCATTCCAATCCAACCACATCTGGAGGGACACAAGTTGCTCACCTCTTTCTGCGTAACAGATAATAAGGAGTTCCATGATGGCATCTCAATAAGAATTAATTTTTTTCTTTGCTTTTGCCCCAGTACTTGCACCGTTTCAAATGGACTCACCTGAGTGAACGTCTTGCTTATGAACGGCAAGTCCGGCAGCAGCGCATGCGTGCTGAAGTTTCGCAGGCCAAACGTGAGACTAATTTCTACCTGCAGAATGTGGAGAAGAGCAAGCGCTTCTCACAGAGGAGCCGTCAGGGAGAACAGGAAGAAAAGAGCTGGGGCTTTGTCCAGCGTCGTACTGAGGATGAAATCCAGACCAGCAAAGGGAAGAAACGTCTGAAGCAGCAGCTGGCCCGGGCTGCAGAGATACAGCAGAAATCCCTATCAAACAGTTCCTTGTTGACCAAGATCTTCAATGTCCAGCAGTAGTGGTGGACCCCGTTGGGATACAGGATTCACTCGCTGTCTTGGACCAGGAGGTGGCAGCCAGGCTGTTGACAAGCCTATCAGACAAAAGTGTATCATCAGACTTAAAGGAAGAGAAGTAATTAATGTTATATCAGCAGATATGGATGTGCTGCTATGGATGTGCTGTGGATATTAACAAAATTAATAGCCAAGTAATTCTGCTGTGCAGAACCTCTTTTCAGAGCATATCCACAGCACATCCATAAGAAGTGCCAGATATTAGCAAAATAAATAGCCAAGTTATTCTGCTGTGCAGAGCCTCTTTTCAGAGTTGTCCAGTGTTGCCTAGCCAGCGTTCAGAGAGTTCCCCCATGGGGATTTGACAACAACGAGATTGTCCCCATCTTCCCATGGATGGGGTTGAGCCTGGCCATTGCATCCTGACATGCTCTGAATTAATTTCTAGGTAAATGAGTGAGGTAGGTTTGGAGCTGAAATTAGCTGGCATTTATTTGTTAATGTGAACCAAGATCCTCATTTGGAAAACAAAGGTAATGAAAGAAACAAGCCAACACCCTTTTATAGAGCTTGGTATAGTGTGTGAAAATGCAACATATTCCTGCTGCCATTTCTGCCATTTAAAAGGGAATGTCAAAACGTGAATTCTAGGCACAAGAAGGACATGAAATTATATTTCATACCAGGCCTTTCAAGTTATAATAACAGTATTGATGCAGATAGTAGCTGAAATGCTGCAACTGAATGTAGTATCACAACCAGAGTAAGCCCATCAAATCCCTGGAACTTACAGAGAAGCTGATTCACTAAACCCCCAGTGATTCAGTGGTTTTCTGTAGTTGTGACTTACTACCTAAGCAACCGGATTTTAGCCCCTGGTTGTTGCCAAGCTGAAGTGATTATTGTCAGGCTAAAAAGATAGTTTTTCTAAAACTGTTCTCTTGAGATTAAGTTTGCTCATCTGTTCAAGATCTTGTATAAAGTTTGCATTATATTTCTGATTCAAATTATTTTCACTTTTTGAGAAAAGTGCCAAATCTTAAAAAAAAAAAAACCACACATCTTTCTTCGTAGTGATGATTATGTCTGTTATTGTTTAATGACAATATGTCAAAATTAAGTGTGTGAGAGAGAAATCTGTAAAGGAGCCACTGATCAGGCAAAGAAAGCACCTGATTTATTGTAGTTGGGATTAAAAATGCTCAGCATTGGTCTCAAAAGTAAAGTTTTGCTTGATAATGCAAACCAATAAAGGGGACTGGAGTACTTTTACTACAAAGAAAGGCTACAGTGTGTGAAGCTTTTCATTTTGGGAAAAGACAATGGAAAGAACACATGATGTTATAGCTTATTTTTGTGCATCCTTTAGCCAAAATCGCCTCCAGAGGGACTCATAAAACTATATACCATATTTTTCCATGTATAAAATGACACCTTTCCCTTAAATAATTAGACAAAAAAATGAAGGTCGTTTTATATATGGAAGGCAGCCACTTTTCCCTGCCTTTTGCAAAGCCTCGCGCCTTAGCAAAAAGGAAGGGAAGGCTCCCTTCAGGTAAAGCAGTGATGAAAGGGCTGCACGATCGCAGCCCTTTGATCCTGAAGCCCTTCCATGGCTGCTTTACTCAAAGGGAGCCTTCCCTTCCTTTTGGCTAAGCCCCATGGCTTCGCAAAAGGCAAGGAAAAGTGGCGGTCAAAGGGAGCCCTTTGATCCCTGCTTTTCCCTTCTTTTTCTAAGCTGATCCCTGCTTTTCCCTTCTTTTTGCTAAGGTCCGTGGCTTAGCAAGAGGAAGGGAAAAGCAGGGATCAAATTTTCTAATTCGGGGTTAGAAAAGGGGTGTCGTCTTATACATTGGGTGAAAGGGGGTGTGTCGTCTTATACATTGGGTGATCTTATAAATCGAAAAATACGGTAAATGTTTATTTGGTACAGTAGAGCACTGTTCAGTCTTTTGAAAATGCAACAATTTTTTTTAAAAAAAATCTAAAGTATAAAATTCTTGTAGTTGTATACAGAAGCAAACACCATTCAACAAAAAGGCTGCCATGGTAGAGCTTTGTAAAATGGTCAATAGTGTGAGAAAAGTGGTGTAATTTCTCCCTTCCCAGCAGCAGAGAGTTGGTTTGTGGCTCATGTGAATGGGGACAGCAGAGTCTCTGTGTTGACAGAGTCATTCCTAGGCCCTTATTTCTTCTTACATGTTTGAGATGGCCTTTTTCTCATCTTAGGAGATAAGGAAAAAAGAAAGAGTACACTGCTTCACACAACACAACCAAGCTTCCCCTCCATTGTATGGAGAGTATTAGTACACCTGGAACTGCTTTCCATGGAAGGAACTTCAGCCACCAGGCAACTCCATACATTTTAACCAAAAACCTAAGCATCTGTTAAATATCAACACAGTATGTATGGTGTGTTTTTATGTGTTATGAGAATGGGATATGTAGTCCTAAGATTGTCCCAATAGCATCCATCTTGATTTAATGTCTGTGTCTGTGGTAGGAAAATTTTACATGCTGTTTCAGAGAAGCTTCGTTCTCTGGTTATCTAGTTGCTAAGGAGAGCCAGAGAGTTACATTCCTGGTAGTTATAATAATTCTGCTACAAAACATGATAACAACTCAAGCTCCCATGAGAAAGTTAGGCGGGACAACAAGACCCAGGAGGGGGTGTTCCTTATGAGGAATTCTGGGAAGAAGAAGGAAGTTGTGAGAAGTGGGAAAAAAGATGGAGTTTGACTGAGAAAGGACGGACATGTGCTTTTTCCCAAAATGGATTATAACTTTTGAATGGGGCTTTTGGCCAACATAGACTTTTGGGTTACAACTGGAATCTAACCTTTCCTGATGGACTATGGAGTCACAGGATACGTAAGAAAGACAACGCCTATGCATAATTCTAGTTTAGTATGTTTTCTTGTGTTATTTTTCTTAGCTGGAGTTTGTGGGGTGGTCTGTCTGACTTGATATGGAAATGTTTCTAACTGAATTGCTTTGCTATAATCTGAATTCTTTTCTGAACCATGTTTCTTAATAAAGCAGTAATGATTTGGAATTGCATGCATTGGTTTCTTGAACAGACTAGCCTAGCTAATTGGCCACGAATATTTTGCTACCATATAGAGGCCAGATTAGCCTGAGTGTAAACTCATGGACTGTCTGTGTTTGTTGCTTTTTCTTAACCAAGGGGATGGACTTGAGGAAGGAGTGTTAGTCAGGGCCTGGCTGACAAATTGGGCTCATCTTAGCTAATAAGGACTGGCTAAACTCTGAAATCTCTCCTTCTCCGGCTTCCCCTTAATCTCCTTGGAGATGGGTGATTGCTTACATGGTGTTCCTAAAATTGCTGTTTTTGTAGGTGTGATTTCTGAATTGCAACTGCTTATAGTACTGTGTGAAATTTCTTGATATTGTTCCCAAAGCCCGGATGACTACAGGGACCACTGAAGTGTTTCATCCTCAAGCAAGATGTTTTGATAACTATGTCTTTGTATTTTGTTAGTTTTTCCAATTCTTTATTTTCACCTATGGCAATCCCTCAGAATCACAGTGTTAATGATCCAGACATTTCTTTGTTCTGTTACTACTATGTATAGTGTGTTATGTTCAAGGTACCTTATCAGTTTGGATCTGGAAAACCCACAAGATCTTGACTTCCTCATTTTCTGACACCTTCTCTATCTGATGTTCCCATGGGTTTTTGAAGGCTGGCAAGTTATATTTTTTGCATAATGACCAGTGCACTAATTTTGCCACTCATATGTCTGATTTTGTAAACTGTTTCTGCAGTCTTTGGAGATTTGCAGATGGGAGGTATTAAACGAGGGGGAAAGCGCGCACATTTTCAACATAACGGACGAGCCGGGCAAAGGGAAGAGGGATCAAGCAGTCCAGACAGAGAGAGAGCCAGAACAGGAAGATGCGTTTGGACTCTTGAAGGACTTTCCAAATCTACGAACTGGGGGAGGATTACTCCCAGACCCAGAAGGTAAAGAAGTGAAGAGGGAGAATTTAGAGCCGCAGGAATGGACCAGCGTGGGAGGGAGGAGGGTGATTCGTCCCAATCACTCTTTGATCCAGCACCAGCGCGAGGGGGACTGGGCGAGACATCCCTGCTGAGGCTCGGTTTGCGCGGTGTGGAGCACGCCCCCGAGACCAATGACGAATCGGGAGCGCTTTGGACCGGCCCTGATGTAAGGAGCGACCTGTTTACTCCTGATGTGAAGGTCCGCAGTTATAAAATCTTACCTGAGTTAAGTATGTTGGATCTGTTTGAAACAGTTGAAGTTGAAATGCCAAGAAATAAAACACTTCTGACCCTTATTCCCACCCTTCAGCTGGAGAAGAACCTGATTACACCCAGCCTTTTTTGTCCTAAAGACAAAGGGGGGAAAAAGCAAAGGAGGTACTGTAATTTGGTGAAACATAATTGCATTCCCCAGTCCTGTTAATTTGGGCCATCGCTGGTAGATCCCTGTTTGTAAAAAGCACTGTATTAGTGTGGTTGATGCTTCAGTGGCACTTCAGCATCATTGCTCATCCAGGGAATCCGGATGTGCAGTAACATAGGAGGAACCAAGAGCAGTGTACAGGGCTCTGGGTAATGTGTTAGACTAATTATAGGATGAATGTGGTTTCCAAGAATGAGAGGCCTAGCTGCTCTTCCAAATTGGCCTGCATGAAGTAATCACAGGTGTGTTGCCACATGATCTGATCTCAGTTTGGAAGCTAGCAAGGGCCAGGCCTTGTTAGTACTTAGAAAGGAGACTACCAAAGAAGACCAGTGATTCCCAGGTAGAGTGAAAAACAAATTCTGCATGAAACCTTGGAGAGCACAGTTGACTACCCCAGGTTAGAAGGGCCCGTCATCTGAGTTGGTGTAAGGTGGTTTTGTACATGTCCCAGCTGTCGGAAGCAATAGCTTAGGTTTCCCCTGAGATAAACATACTAATTTGATTCAGGTCAACTCTTCCCTCCTCCTCAGTTGCCACCCTGTTTACGGAACCCACCCAGGCTTTACCTTCCTAGTGTTCACTTTGCTGAAACAATAGAGAAGGAATGTACTAGGCTTTTATCGGTTGCACAAGCACAATTTTGGACCAGACCAGGAAGAAGCATCTCAGAGGGAACTTTAGGACACTGAAATAAAAA